CTCTCTCTCTCTCTCTCCAGCCCAGAAGGATCAGCGCTGTGTCGGTTGCAGAGCGAGTCGCCTACGAGAGAGGAGAGGATCTTGGGAAAAGCTGCGGCTACAGCGTCCGTTTTGAGTCCATCCTCCCTCGCCCTCATGCCAGTGTGCTGTTCTGCACTGTCGGTATGTACACAGACTCCGACATGATCTCCGAGTAGTTTGGTCGCAGTGTGTACGTTTACTGCTTGTACCTACACTTCAAGCTAACGCACGCTAGCACAAGCTAACCGCCGGTGTTTGGCACCTGCCTGTCCAACAGGAAGCAGACCAACTCCACGTCTGCATGTAAAGCCCATCACAAGGTTCAATTCCCCCGGTAGTCTAAGCCTATAGCAGCATAACTAGCAGCTGGTCCATACCTGCAGCAGGCCTGCATTCTGTAACGTTGAGTATTGTTCTAAGGATGTTGTCTCTGTGTTTGTGTGTCTGCAGGTCGTTGACGTGTTTTTTTGTGTTCAGGTGTTCTGCTGCGAAAGCTGGAAGCAGGAATCCGAGGCATCAGTCACGTCATTGTTGATGAGATCCATGAGAGAGACATCAACGTGAGTTCTTCACATTCACATTAATTATTGTATAAAATCCATTTCACATGCTACAGAGGCTTAAACATCAGGGTCCGATTAGCAGGAGGAGCCGTGAGCGAGGGGCAGGCCATTCAGGGCTTAAAACACAAACAGTTCAACCTTTAGATAGACAGATAGATGGATACTTTATTGATAGGGTTAGGGTTAGGGTAAGGGGTCCAGCATCCAGTAGCAGGTTACAAAGACGAACATGACATGAAACATTTCTTACAAATTCATACATATATATTAACCTGAAGAAAAAGATTGAAAGAATCCCCCTAGATGAATCAAACTTAAACTGTGCAATTAAAAATAGATTTATACAAGAAATGTACATAACCCGTACAGGGATAAAAATATATGTGACATTAAAACAAGAACCTATAAACAGCTGAGGAAAAAATCTGTAATTAGACCTGAATATAAAAAATAAGAGAGAGAGAGGTCTTAATTGCTCAAGTGTGTGTGTGTGTGTGTGTGTGTGTGTGTGTGTGTGTGTGTGTGTGTGTGTGTGTGTGTGTGTGTGTGTGTGTGTGTGTGTGTGTGTGTGTGTGTGTGTGTGTGTGTGTGTGTGTGTGTGTGTGTGTGTGTGTGTGCAGACGGACTTTCTCATGGTGGTCCTCAGAGACGTGATCCAGGCGTACCCAGAGGTCCGTATCGTCCTCATGTCCGCCACCATCGACACCACCATGTTCAGAGAATACTTCTTCAACGCCCCCATCATCGAGGTGTTCGGACGCACCTTCCCCGTTCAAGGTTAGTGTCGAATATTTAACCGCTCAGACTCAGTAACACCTAGGACTGCACGAAGAGTCCAGCCTGTTCGTAACATGACCTGAAGTTGGGGGGAAAAGCGTTTTTTTTTTTGCAGCTCTACTGAAACTTTTTCCTCCATCTTTGTGCCTTTTCGTTTTGTAACATATTTTAAAGCAAAGTTTAAAGGAGCAACATGTAACTCTAGTGTTTAAAATGAGTACTGCAGTCTAAATTTCTTAACATCATAGAGAGCTGTCTCCCCCCCCCCCCTCACTCAGGTCACCATGTGGTGGACTCTGAAGCTTCAGTGTTTATCCAGCTCTGCATGGGTCTGTAAACCTTTCTGTGTTCTAACCTCTCTCCATTTTTCAAAAGCATCTCCAATATTGATCCTAGTTTGAGCACGTTTCTGCTCGTGGAGCTTATTAGAAACATGCAGAGGCTTTTTAGGTCGGGTACAATCACTTCTATCTGAACCACTTCTCTTGACCGCTTCCATCACTGCAACACCTGTTGACCTGATAACTGCTCTCATATCTGGCAAACCGAGGGGCGTCCAAAACGGCCGTGTGGGGGGGTCGTCTTAAAAGCGCCTACCTTCTCTGGTCCAAACAAATCCAGAGCATTCAGTACTGTTTTTCCCTAAAGTCACTCTATAAGACATAAAGCTCGGGGACAGAAGCTGTTCCTCAGTCTGTTAGTCCAGCTTTCATGCGATACCTCTTTGCAGATGGTAGGGGTACAAACAGACTGTGTCCTGGGTGTTTTTGTGGCACACAGCATCTAGCCCACAATGATCTCTTCAGTAGTCTTTCAAACCAGATTGTTCTCTGAACCACACAGAGAAGAGTCTCCCGCTGCAAGGAAGTTAACAAAGCCTGAGACTGAAGAGGCGTTTGAGCCAAAGCACTTTTCTGCATTTAGAACATTTCTGTATGTTTCAGAGTACTTCCTGGAGGATTGCATCCAGATGACCAACTTCATCCCTCCTCCGATGGACCGCAAGAAAAAAGAGAAAGACGAGGACGGAGGAGAGGAGGATGTAAGTTTTCCTGCAGCTCAGTGAGGCTGAATACGAAACAATTATCACGACTGTAAGATCCTGTTTTTTGTTTTGTTTTCTCACCTTGGCAGACAAACTGTAACATGATCTGTGGGCCGGAGTACACGGCGGAGACGAAGCGTTCGATGGCTCAGATTAACGAGAAGGAGACGTCTTTTGAGCTGGTGGAGGCTCTCCTCAAGTACATCGAGACGCTAAAGGTGGCCGGAGCCGTGCTCATCTTCCTGCCCGGCTGGAACCTCATCTGCTCCATGCAGAGACACCTGGAGACCAACCCGCACTTCGGTACAACGTCACTAGACTGATCTTATATCTATATATATACAGTATATATCATAGGTTAGTGTTTGATTATGTTGTCTCTCTCCAACTAGCTGCTCTGTGTTCACTTATTGACTCGTCAAACCAGTCTCGCTAAATGTTGATCAATCAGAGCGTCGCACAGAGCGAGAGAAGTTCTGTGTCACGTCATGATTTGATGGAAGGTTGTTTTCTATTGTCTCTCCGTATTTGCATTTCCAGGAAGTAACCGGTACCGCATCCTGCCGCTCCACTCTCAGATCCCCCGCGAGGAACAGAGGAGGGTTTTTGAACCGGTTCCTGAAAGCATCACGAAGGTCAGAGACGCTGCAGGACAGAAAAATAACAACAATAACTGTTTCAAGGGATGTGCACCTTCTATTTTTTACATATTTAGGGGTCTGAATGACTAATTTGACAAAATGCAAATCAGTGATTTGTTGATCTTGAAGAAGGTAAACAGGCTGTTTCTGTGTCTGTACCTTTAAATATGTAAATGAGCTGTGTCTGACCACGCCCCCTCTCTGGAAGGGCTTGGGTGTACTCGGTGCTTTCTCGCTCCATGTCCTATTGTTTACGGTGAGAAGGCAGACTCAGAGGGCAGAACAAACACCTAGCTGTGGGAGTGTCACCCACCTGGGGGAGGGGCTACTGCCCTTTGTGATGTCATGAAGGGAAAATCTCCAAACGGCCTGTTTGAGCACACATTTTCTGAAAAGTGGAGCAGGTTAAAGACGGAGAGGATGGACTTTTCTCATCATTGGGGGGTTTGTAGACAGACTAGAGACACATGTTAGAGTTAGAGAAACATGGAGAAGTGGATTTAGAATAAAATAGAGCGCACCGTAGATAGTGGTCCTCAGTGTCTCCCTGTAGTCTCAGTGATGTAAAAGAAGGACACTGCTGCATCTTTGAATGTCTCATTTCACTTTAACAAACTCTCAGACAGTAATATCCACCTGATGACATCACACATTGACCTTATGACATCACACAGTGACCTTATGACATCACACATTGACCTGTGTTACCGTTCCTTTGAGCTGTTTCATGTTGAGCTGATATTAAAGTCAACGTTTGATCTGCAGGTGATTCTGTCCACTAACATCGCGGAGACGAGCATCACCATCAACGACGTCGTCTACGTCATCGACTCCTGCAAGTGAGTCTTGTCGGGCTGTCACGGTCCTGGCTTTGGTGCGGTTCCTGGTTTAGGACTCTGCTCAAAGATGAGAACTGTTCTGACTGTTTGTGTTTTTTTTGTCCCGACAGGCAGAAAGTGAAGCTGTTCACCTCGCACAACAATATGACCAACTACGCCACCGTCTGGGCCTCCAAGACCAACCTGGAGCAGAGGAAAGGTCGAGCCGGCAGAGTGCGACCCGGGTTCTGTTTCCACCTCTGCAGCCACGCCCGCTTCGAGAGGTCAGACCTGTTTGTACCACCTGCACACACACACACACACACACACACACACACACACACACACACACACACACACACACACACACATACCACATCCTGCCCCCTCCTTTGATAGATAGAATCTTTATTGTTAGCAGCAGTTAAGTCATTTTTGCACATTGTATTCCCGTCTTGTTTGGGGGGGTGAGGTTTATGGGTTGAGGAGTAGGAGTTTGCGTGCAACTTTTTAGTGTGTAAAACAATTCATTACCCGGTAGTGGGTGAGTAGGACTAGTCTCCAGATGTGCGTCTACACGGGAATATGTGTGTGTGTGTCTGCGTGTGTCTGTGTGCGTTAGTGAAAGGGGGAGGAGAAAAGAAAGAGAGAAATGCGTGCCTGAAGAGGCCGGATCACAGTCCGACTCCCGCACCACAACTCGGAGTAATTCCCTTCATTCACAGAAACAAACCAATAGCCGAATTCAAGTTAATACAGCTTACACTGGCCTTTCTGATCAGAAGAGTAATACCCGGTTATAACGCTGTTACACTAAACACATATAGGACGCAGCGGTCCGAAACAACAACAAGAGTTTTAAACAGTTCAAACTCAGGACGCAGGTCCAACAAAGATAAAAATTACAGTTCCTGCTTCGATCAACAATTGTTAAAAACACTCTCTAAAGCTAATTCTGCCCAGACCTAATTAAGCCTCACTTGTGAATCGCTTTGCCCGCGATTGGTGAAAGGAAAAGAGTCCGGCGATGGAGCAGATCTTCTGTCCGTCCTGGTGCAGAGGCGTCTGATGGCGGCGAGGGTCCCTTACGGCGAGAGCGGCTTCGTTGGTTCTCCGTCGAGTGGAAAGATGTCCTTTGATGTCCTTTCATTGCAGGACGGAATAAGACCGTTATCTTTCTGATAATCTGTTATAGTCTGACGCTCTCCGAGAAACTGAGATGTGTTCACTGGACAATCTGAGCTCGGAATTTAGAACACTGCCGGCCGCGGATTACCTGCACGCCAAAACTTAAAACAAAGGAAGATTGTTGCAGGAAACAGAAGGTGAGCTTGTGTCTCCGAACACTAGAAGTCAGCGCGTGGAAAGAGAGAGAACAATGGAAGTCTTGGAGTTTTGTAGCCTGGCCTGCTCCATGGGGGGTCTACCTCAGGTCCCCTCCAATGAGAAGAGAGAGGTTCCGGTCCCCCCCTTTCTTCACACGTAGGTGTGAAGTATTGCAGGGGATTCTGGGAGTAAGAGTCCTTTAGGTCTCTTTGTGATCTCAGTGAATAACTGAAATGAGGCTTTTACAGAGGTGCAGGCCCAAGTCCATTGTTTGCCTGTCTTAAGCCTGCGTGGCCCAACACTAGTGTGGAGTGTTTTTTATTTTTTTCCTGTAGTAGATTATTATTTCCTTGGTTTTCTTTGTGTTGAGGTGCAGGTTGTTGTTTTCACACCACACAGAGAATGATTGGACCTCCTCTCTGTAGGCCGCCTCGTTGTTGTTGTTGTGTGCTACAATGGTGGTGTCATAGAATATAAAGTCGTTCCTACGTGACCGTTATGTTCTGGTGTGTTCAGGCTGGAGACTCACATGACCCCAGAGATCTTCAGGACTCCGCTGCATGAAGTCGCCCTGAGCATCAAGCTGCTGAGACTCGGCGCCATCGGACACTTCCTGTCCAAGGCCATCGAGCCGCCGCCGCTGGACGCCGTCATCGAGGCCGAACACACCCTGAAAGGTACGCAGCATGGTTGTCTTGATAACATCATTTTAAATTTCGATGGCGTGCTAGTAAAAATGAACGTTTCAGAGCTGGATGCGCTGGACTCTAACGAGGAGCTGACCCCTCTGGGCCGGATTCTGGCCCGCCTGCCCATCGAGCCTCGTCTGGGGAAGATGATGATCATGGGCTGCATCTTCCAGTCAGTTTCTTCTTCTTTTCTCCTCCTCTGTTCAGACGAGTCACATGACCTCCTGTTTCCTGTCTCACTTTAACAACTCAACTCCCCTCTGGCGCCCTCTAGTGTTGGAGACGCAATGTGCACCATCTCCGCCGCCACCTGTTTCCAGGAGCCGTTCATCAGCGAGGGGAAACGTCTCGGCTTCGTCCACAGAAACTTTTCAGGTAGCCGGTTCTCCGACCACGTCGCTCTGCTGTCCGTGTTCCAGGCCTGGGACGATGTCAGGTGAGGAGGGGGCGGGGCTTAAACTCAGTCACTGGTTATGCACTTCAGTATTTGTTTTATTTTGTCGTCACATTGAGCTGCTGATTTTTACAGAGTTACCTTAAAGAGATAAATGTTCTGAAGAGCAGCAACAAGCAATAACCCTGACTTCTTGATGTTGCTCAGGATTAACGGCGAGGACGCAGAAACGCGTTTCTGTGAGCACAAACGTCTCAACATGTCGACTCTGAGGATGACCTGGGAGGCCAAAGTGCAGCTGAAGGAGATCCTGGTGAACGCTGGATTCCCTGAAGGTACCTGAACGCACCGCTGAAGTCACATAAACGTTCAGGTCCGACTTTTCTTCACGTCGTGTTTATTTCTGCGTCCTGCCAGAGAGTCTCATGACTCAGATGTTCAACACGGTCGGACCGGACAACAACCTCGACGTGGTGGTGTCCCTGCTGACCTTCGGCTCCTACCCCAACGTCTGCTACCACAAAGAGAAGAGAAAGATCCTGACCACCGAGGGGCGCAACGCCCTCATCCACAAGTCCTCCGTCAACTGTCCGTTCAGCAGCCACGACATGACCTACCCGTCCCCCTTCTTTGTCTTCAGCGAGAAGGTCAGCCTCTCTTTCTCTCCGTTTCAACATTCATGACATCAACATTTATTATATTTATTAAAAAAACAATCTTAAGACGCTTCTCCAAGAACCTTCATGAACAAATCATCTCACATCTGGCAAACCGAGGGGCGTCCAAAACGGCCGTGTGGGGGGTCGCCTTAAAAGCACCTACCTTCTCTGGTCCAAACAAATCCAGAGCATTCAGGAGCAGAATCTAAAGTTAGAAGGAGGACATACTGGCTGCTGCATTGTTGTCAGAGAAGCCAGCACTTCAACACAGCATGTTTCCTTAATGATCAGATAGTAAGATACCTTTATCATCTCACTCTCTACACAGCTCACTGATTGGACCTTTAAGTTCTGTGTTTTAACACTTAATGGAGTGTTTAAATGAGCGGCTGCTCCTGGACAACATTTCTAACTGGAACAAGTCTTCTTGTCTTTTTTTCTTGAAGTGATCATTTTAGTCTTTTTTCCGGGCAGAATAAGCGCTGGCTGTGCGCTCGGGAGCGTTTGTGCACTGAGAAGAAAAACGCTGCACGTCCATCCTGTTTCCATGACAACAGTCTGTTGATAACGCTCTCTGTATGACCGACTCTGCTTCGTTACTTTTTACTGCATGTTTTATATTTGAGATCGTTTATTCCCCGATCAGACACGGAGCGAGGAGGATGAGGGTACAAGACACGATCTGTAGGAGACAAAACTACGGGGAATATCAAACATTTAGAAAAGAGAGACGGTGACATCAGCACCTTTCTGAAAAGTTAAAAGATTTACAACTTGAGCGCCTTGGAAGAGAAGACGCTGGGCGCTGCGCATTTTCTCCAGGCGGCGTCTTTCTGCTGAGAACGCTCTCTCCTCATTGAAGACAATTTAAAAAAAGACTCTGGCGCTTAGAAAAAGACACGGGTAGACGTTTCCTGTTTCTCTCCTCAAACAAACAGATGGACTGAAGGATGTTTGAATGGATGCTGTGCAGACGTTGTATGGTGCCTCTGTTCACGTTGAGCTTTGTTGTTTTGTGCGTGCTTCAGATCCGGACCCGGGCGATCTCGGCTAAAGGGATGACTCTGGTCAGTCCGCTGCAGCTGCTGCTGTTCGCCTGCAAGAAGATCAGCTCCAACGGAGACATCGTGGAGCTGGACGACTGGTGAGAGAACACTGCCGACATTTTGATTTCATGAATTTAGAAGAGTTCCACGCGAGGATATGGGATGTTTGATGGTTCCATATTAAAGATATTTAATGTTCAGATGTTCTCAGTTGAGGTGCAGGAACCCTCTGGGGGTACAATGGCGTCCCTGTAACTTGATTCAGACCCTCCTAAGGTTCCTGGTTTGTGGGGGACGTCCCTGCAGAGGACAGAAAAGCGGGTTGTCGTAGTTCAGCTTCTCTCTGGGGATGCAGAAAAAGTTTCACAGGAAGTGGGCGGTGACCTTTCACATCAATGCGTGCAGGATCAAGCTGAGGATCCCTCACGAGGTGGCGGGTGGCGTGGCGGCTCTGCGGGCCGGTCTGGAGGCTCTGGTGGTCGAGGTGACCAAAGATCCTGAATTCATCCGACAGATGGACCAGGGCAACCAGAGACTCCTGAACCTGATCAGACACGTGTCCAAACCGTCTGCAGCCGGACTCAACATGATGAGCAACAACCAGAGGTACGCACGCACGCACGCACGCACGCACGCACTCACGCACACACACACTCACACACACACACACACACACACACACACACACACACACACACACACACTGTCAATGACAATCACTGAATTGTATCCACTCCTAAACTCACCTGCTGCGCTGTCATTGGCTGGAGGAAACACACCAGCTCCGCCCAGAAACGTCCCGAGTCAACCAGAACAAAGCAGAACAGTAAAATCCAGTCAGAGGACAGAGTCTCTGCAGACACAGTCACCACCACACATGTATTTTATTTTGAAAGGACAATGGAGCAGCTTCACTTTAGGAGAAGTCTGTATTTTATTTTGAAGGAGACAGGATACTGACTCTGCCTTTAAGAAAGAAAATGTTTTAACGATCGTCTCTTCCTCAGGATGGGAGACGGACCTCGACCTCCAAAGATGGGACGCTTTGACGGAGGAGGAGGTGGAGGAGGAGGATACAGAGGAGGGGGAGGTTACAGGGGAGGGGGAGGATATGGAGGTGGAGGAGGGTATAGGGGAGGGGGAGGATACAGAGGGGGAGGAGGGGGAGGTTACAGAGGAGGTTATGGAGGAGGAGGATACGGAGGGGGAGGAGGGTACAGAGGGGGAGGAGGGTACAGAGGAGGGGGAGGGTACAGAGGAAGTTATTAAAGGTCAGGCGTCTTGACTGTACATGTTTCCTGTTTGTCCTCAGCTGTTTCTGATCTCTCTGATGTTGATTTTGATGTTGTGACTTTTTGATCTGTGAAATGTTTTGAAGATATGAATAAAAAAAATCTTTGAGTTCTGAAACGGATTCCAACATTTACTGGATGAAAGTTTATTTACGTTTTTGTTGACGCGTTGTGGACAAATCCTGCTCCTCAAAACCATCGGTATATTTCAGTTGCACATCAGGTCCGCTCGTTTTTCATTTCTCTGAGTGTGACTCTTCTTCGACTGAGTTCAGTCTTTGTTACCGTTCCTTTGAGCTGTTTGACCTCACTTTGGGATCCCTAACCACTTCCTGTTTCTGTGCTTAACTTCCTGTCCTAACCTTCCATGTACAGGAAGTACCTAACTTTATTTCAAAATAAAAGCACACAGCAAGTAAAGTACTCTCAGCTAAAGACAGGACAAACCTTCAAAATAAAAGCCTGACTGATTGTATTGTTTAATGCAAAATAATGGAATTTCAAAAATGTGATTAGTAACGATTTACTATTGGAATTTAATGTTACTCAGCCAGACAGGATATATAATCTCTCCAATGAAGTCTGGCTCTAGCCCGGGAGCCAGTTCCTGGAGCCAGCCTCAAACGGACACTCGACAGGATTTTGATCTTCGGTGTAGCTGATATTAGCAGCCACGTTTCACAACCTCTCTTTCTGCAGGACTCAGGACTGTGGATGACATCTTGGTTACTTTTTACCAAGAAACAAAGGAACTGATCAATGATTTAAGTCTCCCTCTCAGACAGGCTCTGGAGGACAGGATATTATAAACATTTACGCCTGGAGTAAACAACCAAGCGGAAACAGAACACTCTGCTATCTACAAATTAACCCCAAAGACATGAACTGTGACCGAAAACAGTCTCTGCAAAGTCGACCAAAAATTGACCATCTGTGGAAAATACTGCTGAAGAACTGATTAAACCACAGTGTTTAATTCTGCATCAAATTAACATTTATATATTTCTTCATCTACACACACACACACTTTGCCAGGATCATCTAGTCTGGATCAGGTAGTTCAGTGGTTCTCAAACTTTTTAGACTACGTACCACCTCTGAAAATATTTGGCTCTCCAAGTACCACCATTATGGTAGACGTTAAAATATACTGTAGGCCTATTTCTACACACATTTCATGCAAGAGGCAAATTGATTCATAAAAAGAATATTATTTATTATTGACTGCTGGCAGCCACACTGTAGGCCTACTAAGGGCTAGCACTAGAACTTGCACACACAAAAGTTCAGAACAATAAAAATGACAACTTTATACCAACAACCTTGTCGCATTCTCCTCCAGCCTGAAAACGTCCAAGACAACATATTATCAGAACAAGATATGCAATGCCACAGATACAAGAACAATGTTTTCTGCTTTTAACTCACTGCTTCAACCACCTCCTCCTCCACCCTCCGATCTGTTCACACCAGACATGTTTGCCTCGTATTTTACTGAAAAGGTTGCAACCATCAGTAACCAGTTTTCTGAGCCTGACCAACTCAGCCCAAAGGCACCAACCAAAAGTGCCTCACTCGACTCATTCTCCTCTCTGACTAGGATGAAGTCTCTAAGCTTGTGCTAGACTCTCAGCCCACCACCTGTCCTCTGGACCCAATACCATCAAGCCTCCTGCAGACCATTTCCTCTGCGCTTAATGCTGCACTTAAGCATATCATCAACTCCTCTCTGTCAACGGGTGTGTTCCCCACCTCATTCAAGCAAGCTCGGGTCACCCCTCTGCTCAAAAAACCCACACTAAACCCAGCCCAGTGTAACGTATTGACCCGAAGTGAGCCCAAACTCACAGGACACAAATGAAAACCCCACTCTTCCTGTTTGCTGATAACAAAAGCCATTCATTTGATTAACTGTTTCAAAGAGACTTGCATCGGAATGTGAAGGACAGGACGTCGTAAAAACAAACCTTTTTGCAATAAGCCTTTAATCTACCTTGGTGAACCAGACCACTTGGATACGTGTGAATAACTTTCAGCATAAACAATCCCAGGAAGACAGCCGTCTGCCGAGTTAATTAACACGGCAGGGGATGCCTTTGATGTGACTCGTCTTATCTCAAACTGACCTAACAGCTTTAGACCTGTTGAACAAACTGCCTTAACCAACATAATCCATTTCTGATATAAAAGAATTTCAGTTCAATCCCTGAATCGCATATATGTATCCATGACATCAAGACTAACACTTTCATGCAAGTTAGATTCCGCTACGATCATCTATGACGAACTTGGATATTGAAAAACTAAATCACATTACTCGGTGAACTCTCCTTGAGTCTTACGTGGAGCACTACTGCCCCCGAGTGGCAAGAGCGCTATACCGACCTGAGCTTCAGGACAGAGGTGTTACGATAGTTGATATGTGATTTTGTCCTAGTTATAAACTTAGTATTGTAAGATATGATTCTATACTCTTCATACTATATTAATGTGTTTTTGAATGTTAAACGTTATAATGCTGGTTTCATTCCCATACAGGCGGAAATCGTCTAACTGTCTTCAGGTTGGACGTAATGTCTATTTCATTGCATAATTGTTTGAAATGTTTACTGCCGGAGATAATTCTACATACGAATATTGACATGGTGATGTTCATATGATCAAAGTTCTTATTTATGCTCTCAAATAAGTAAAGAACTCAGAGTGGATTAAATTAAAAGTTAAACATCGGAGGCGGGTTAGATATTAGGCCCCTCCCCCTCATAAAAGTCATCTCCAGGATAAAGTAGCTCGTCTCTCAGGAGCTCTCTCTCTTGTAAATTTCTCTTGTAATTTTCTCTTCTAAATTCTTCTTCTAAAACTCTCTTAGACGTCTCTTCTTAATTCTTGTTTCAACTACTTTGTTTCTTCAAGTTTTGCAGACGCGAAACTCTTTGAATTTAAGTCCGAATTCGCAGGACCTGCAAAACTCGAATCCGACTTAAACCAACCCTGATTTTTCATGCGCGCATTCTAAGGCTTTTTCCTATAGCCTAAGATTGAGCGCTGCTGTCTTTTTCTCCTTTTTGAAGTATTGATCATTCGTCTTCCAGAACAGTAATTTTTCTAATCCTCACACTTGACTACAAGTGACCATTCAAGTCAAGTGAGGGTCAACGAGCGTCAATCCTGATGAACGTTAATTAAGACTCTTTGAGCCGCTGAGAGACGGACCCACGGACCCACGGATGACTGATTGGACCGCTGTGTTTTTCTTCAAACCCATCTCATTGTTGACTCCGACCAGACCTGCTACGGCGGTTATCGTGGGCCACCGGCATTCCTGATCCGAAAGAACTCGACGAGAAGTCTTGGCACCATTCGGCGGATTTAAGTTCCCTTTTTATTTTCTTTCTCAAAATCCCACTTCATTAAATCCCTCAAACAATATAGTTAAACTCCAAAATTGACACAAGAATCTCATCATGGCAACTTAAAACAACTCAATATTATTATTCAAGTTATATCACTGTCGTAATTATATTGATATTACTTATGCATTTCCTTTAAACTCTTCTGTTCATCATTTTTCTTTATTAAACTTTCATATAAGATTTCAGTACTTTGTCTGTGTAATTTTATGGTATTACTGCTTGAGAATTCATCCCAATGATATGAGACAGATTTATAGATTCATTAATTACTACAAGTAATATTACCTTTCCTTACTTAACAAGGATGGTGCCCCGAGTTATATATATTAAATATTAAAAGTAGATACGCTACACCAGGTTGAAAACTACAGACCGGTTTCTCTTCTGCCCTTTCTGTCAAAAATACTTGAGCGCACAGTCTTTAAGCAAGTCTCTGAGTTCCTGTCCAGAGATGATCTGTTTGACCCAAATCAGTCAGGCTTTAAGCGGGGCCACTCTACTGAAACTGCACTACTGTCAGTAACAGAATCGCTATGAGCTGCCAGAGCTGCGGGTCAGTCCTCAGTTCTATTACTGCTGGACCTGTCTGCTGCCTTTGACACAGTCAACCATCAAATCCTCCTATCCACGCTCTGAACATCTCAGGATCTGCCCTCTGCTGGTTCGTGTCCTACCTCTCCGGGCGATCCTTTAGAGTGTTGTGGAAGGCAGAAGTGTCCAAAGCGCACAGCTTATCCACAGGTGTACCGCAAGGGTCAGTGCTTGGTCCCCTTCTCTTCTCCATATACACAAGCTCACTTGGTTCAATAATCCGCTCTCATGCAGGGTCCGAAATTAACTTTTTGACTCACCGACCAAGGTGGCAGGTAGATGAAAAAATTACACCGGCCAAACATGTTTTTTTACCGGCCAAAATAACAAATTTTGTTTGTGTCCTATACACATCTGTTACAGTACATTTAATTGAGAAGGCATTATGTTTTGTTTAATCAATAACAAATTTAAGTCACAGATTCAATCATGTCATCAGATCAAGAAACCGCGAAATTGTAAAAAAAAAATATTTTCTGTTTTTTTTTCTTAATGTATTATTTGTAGGCAGTAGTTCCAAACCTCCCCCCCCCCTCCCCGAACTGCCCCTGCATTACAACATTACAGACTAAAAGCAAAAATCCATCAGAGAAGTGAAAAGTGGAGCGTGAATTTAGCGTCCGCTAGGATATTTAAAGTGTTTGTAACGCAGCGCTGTTTCACAGAGTCTGTGTGGACATTGCTATAGCTAAGTTAGCTGCAGACACGGTGAGAGTGAACGGAGAAAAGTCGAACCGACCGTTTGACCGGATCACGTGTGTTCCCGTCTCGGTCCGTACGGATCACGGATCAACTGTTTGCTGAAGCACTAGAAGTAAACAGGTGCGCGTGGTGGCTGTCGCTCCGGTGTGTGTGTGTGTGTGTGTGTGTGTGTGCGTGTTTTCACTTAAATGTATGTTGGTGTGTCTCAGCGTGCTGTGATGCTCACAGTCATGACAGCAGAGAGAGGAGCAGGGAAATGTAGCTGCAGCTAGGCTACATCAAACGCGCTTAATACTCATAGCATAGTTTTTTAGGACTTTTTGATAAAACATTTACCCGCCCTGTGGTGGATAGCCCTCTGAAAAGTACTCGCCAAACAAAAAATCTACCCGCATTTGGCGCTTGGCGGGTGTTAATTTCGGACCCTG